AGCTTCAGAAATCTATATCAGATTCTAAAAAAATTGAATACAATCATTGAAAAGGATATTAGGGAACTGTAGAAGCCTTTTAAGAGACTGAAAAGTTGAATACCATTAGATCATGTGCTTCTGATAAGGCACCTAGACCTGATGGTTACATTCTGTCATCAAAGCTGGTAGGTATAACACTAATGTAAAATGACCACAAAGCATAACATTTGTTTCAGTTTTCCCTGTACCAAGGAAGAGAACACAAACTCTCTTTGGATTGGCCATCAAAGACACCACACTTGGCACTAGAAACTCTATAACCAATGTAAAATGACCAATGATAATGAAAAGACAGTAGCTAAAAGAGGGGAAAAGGTGAATGTGGAGATTTCCTAGGCATCCAAAGCATCACAAAACATCTCTCATTCAAATGGAACATTCAGTTACCTGGTATGTATAACACTAATTAATGCTACAAGTAGATTTAAATAAAGGTTAGAATAAGAAATAGAACACACATGGTCAAAATCCAATAGTTACTGATTTTAATCACTGTAATTTGAAAAACAGAAACTAAAGAAAATGAGAATATTTGGAGAAAACTTAATACAAACAAATGACGGTGAAGATACAAAAGTAGATTATCAAGCACTAGTCACTATCTATGTCTTCTTCAAACTCTTCCTCTTCTTGATCCTCTTCATCATCTTCATCCTCTTCATCCTCCTCAGTTTTCTCAGTTTCATATTCTTCTGTTGATTCTATTTGGATTTCATGATGCTCTTGCAATAAACCATCATCAATGGGTTCATCCATATCCATTGTATCCCCATTTGGATCATTTAAGAGTATGTTTTCATCAATGGAAACAGTCATATCTATCTCGTGGACTTCAACTTGGAATGGAACATTCAGTTCTGAAGTTGTCTCCACTCCCTCATCAAGTAATTCAATAACATTTTGAGGTTTGACCTTCAATACAGCTACCCAGTCATCTTTGTCCTTTTTCTTGTTGGGATACGAAAAATAACACACCTGAGTTGCTTGCATTGCCAGAATAAAAGGCTCATATTTTTTATATCGACGACGCTGATTAATCTCAACCAATTTGTACTGATTATGCCTTTTGACACCAACATCCATAGTTGGGTCAAACCATTCACATTTGAATAATACAGTTTGCTTCAAAGGTGCTTCAGGGTATTCCACTTGTATAATCTCTTTTTATCCGTCCAAAATAATCACCAAAATTTGAATCTGAGATATAAACTCCACTATTCATTGTTGATCTTGCGATACCATGACATTCTGTGTGAAATTTGTATCCATTAACAAAATAAACAGAATGACATGTAGCACTTATTAATGGTCCACGGGCAAGACTACTCAAGAATTTATTCTCTATAGGATTGCCTCAGACCTATTTTGAAAAAATTGTAAGACTTAGTAAAATTTCTAAAGTCAAGTTAAGCACATTACCACATAAAAGATAATAGTTTTGAAATCTTACAAATTCCTTGAACCATGTAGATAAATTTGCTTCAAGGCTCTCATCTATTTGAACCTGAGATATATTCGGAAATTCTTCTTGAAAACGTTACATGAACATACTTCATCATAGTAAAATAAGTTTAATTTGATAGTCGTGAATAAAGATATGTTTATATCATTAAGAAAATACCACTAACTTTTGTTACCTCACAAATGGCTCAACCTCCTCACAATTTAGTAAGATATAAGTTTGGGCAGCCTTGATTTCTTCAAGGGATAAATCCCTTTTTTTTGCTTCTCCCCATACTCGACCTGGATGGGAGAATATTGATAAATTTCCTTCAAGATCTTCCACAACACCACCATCATCATTACGTTCCACATTATGATTACGTGTCATGACATGAGGTTCAAAATAATGAGAAAACAATTGTGTTGACTCTGTCATCAAGTACGCTTCACAAATGGAACCCTCTACACTAGCTTTATTCCCAATCATCCTTTTAAGAGTTCCCAAATACCTAAATAGAGAAAATGGATGGACCATTACATTAGAAAAGGAATGAATGGCAAACTAGTCATAAGTGACATGAAGTTTCACATTTACTTTTCAAATGGATACATCCATCGATATTGCACTGGTCCAGCTATCTTTGCTTCATATGGAATGTGCACAGGAAGATGTTCATTGGTCCAGCTATCCTTGCTTCATATGGAATGTGCACAGGAAAATGTTCCATTGACTAAAAGAACCTAGGAGGAAATATACGTTCTAACTTGCATAAGATTTGTGGAATATCTCTCTCCAATCTCTCCATGTCATCCACTCGTAGAGTGGTGGAAGTAAGATCTTTAAAAAATAAGCTCAATTCTGTAAGTGCCTGCCACACATTACTAGGAAGTAGTTCACGAAAAGCAATAGGCATTAGTCGTTGCATGAACACATGGAAATCATGACTTTTCATGCCAAACATCCTTTTCGCATTTGTGTCTGGACATCTACCCAAATTGGAAACATACCCATCTGGAAACTTTAAGCCTTTCACCCAATTGAACAAGATAGCTCTTACTTCTTTGTCTATCGTATATATAGCTTTGGGATATTTTCCACTACTGTCTTTTGCCAATTGAGGTCGATCACAATATTCTACCATATCTTGACGTGATTATGGATTGTCTTCGGTTTTGTCATCAAAATTAAGAATTGTGTTAAACACATTATCAAAGACATTTTTCTCAATATGCATGACATCAAGATTATGTCGAATCATGTTAGAACTCTAATAAGGCAAATCCCAAAAGATGCTTTCTTTTTCCAACCACAAGACTTGCATAATCTTCGATTAACTTCGTTTGCATCTAACTCTGTTACTTTCCTTATGCCCAAGTCAAAAATTTGGTTCAATAACTCCGCTCCTGTTCTATAGGGTGGTGGTGATCTTTGGACAGTCTTGCCTTTACGAAAGTTTTTACGATCTCTCCTAAATGGGTGATTTTGGTCGAGAAACATCCTATGACAATCAAACCATGATGTTTTTCTACCATGTTTCAATCTAAAGGATTGTGTTTCCTCCATACAATAGGGACATGCTAAATTACCAGCAGTACTCCATCCGGATAACATAGAATATGCTGGAAAGTCATTGATTGTCCACATTAAAGCTGCCCTTAGTTGAAAGTTCTGCTTTTTTGAGATGTCAAATGCTTCCACACCTGTCTCCAACAACAAAGTCAGTTCTTTTATCAGAGGCTGCAGATAAACATCAATTTTATGTTTGGGATTGGTTGGCCCTGGAATAATAACTGTTAAGAACATATAAGCCTCTGTCATACACATCCCTGGAGGTAAATTGTAAGGAGTGACAATCACTGGCCATGAAGAGTATTTACTCCCAGACTGACTAAATGGTTGGAAACCATCAGTACATAACCCCAATCTTACATTTCTTGGTTCCACAGCAAAAAATGATGAGTTTCATTGAAGTGCTTCCAAGCCTCAGAGTCTGATGGATGACGCATTACACCATCCTCTTTTGTATGCTCATGATGCCATCTCATATCAGCAGCAGTAGCAGGGGATGCATATAATATTTGCAATCTAGGAATCAAAGGAAAATAATACATTTTCTTATAAGGGACCAATTTCCTTTTACGAGAGCCGACACGACGCTTGTATATCTCATGGCCACAGAATGTACAACATGTAAGGTGTTCATCATCACCCTAATATAACATACATCCTGATTCACAACAATCAATTTTTTCAACTGGCAAACCCAAGCTACGCACTAGCTTCTTGGTCTGATAATAACTATCAAGAACCATGTTATCTTAAGGTAAAGCCTCTTTCAACAATTGCATCATTTGATTATAACCTCTCTGTGAAATCTTGTTCTCCATTTTAATATTTAACATCCGAGAGACAAGCGCAAGTTGAGAGAGAAGAACCGGGATACAATTTTTGAGTAGCTGCTTGTAGCAAATCATATGGTTTGTGAGAGTCGGGATTAGGATCTTCTTCAATCAAAGGTTCACAAGGATGAGTTGGCTGAGGTTCAATATTGCTAGAAGATTGTCAACTTGAACCTTGGGAAAAGTTGGGACACGAAACATCTAAAACCATTTGTCGGTATGGATTATCATATGTTAATTTGGGTTGAGCACTACCATGCAAATCTTGACCTGAAGAAATCTCATTGATCACATCTTTTTCCCCTTGATGCTTCCAAACAAAATAGTTATCAACAAATCCAGTCTTATAAAGGTGATGTTTAACGATTTTAACATCCATGAATCTAAAGTTGTGACATTTTTTACATGGACATCTAACTTTGTCACCACTCAAGCGAGCCCTGTTGTGTACATGCAAACTGGATAAATTTATCCACACCGGTTACGAAACTAGAGTTTATAGCCCCACGACCATCCAACCTCTCATACATCCAACCACGCTCTAGATTATTGATGTTCCTGTCAATTCTTAAACAAACAAAACTTTTACTATAAAAGCACTAGTTGATTGACCAAAAGGTACTCTAATTCATATTCATTAAATTTAGTCAAAATATAGAGATCGAACTAACAAAAATAGTTTCTCGAAATAAAATGAAATAGATTCATTCAGTAACTTTCACAACAATTGGAATTTGACCTCCTGTGCCTGTGACTTAAAGAAAGAAGGAGCTGAAACTGAAATTTCTCACTAGGAAAGCTGAAAAAAAGCTTACCTAAAAAAAAAAAATTCCTTACTGAAAAATTCTAATTCCAGTTAACTTACAGAATAATAAAGCATTCTAAGTCCAACCAGCTTACTTTAGAGTATAAACTATACTTTCTTTTATAAATAAGGAACTAGTAGTACAAGCATACAAATAACAAAACACAAAACACATATAAAGAAACTAAATTTGCTTAAGCACATTGGACACAATGACAACAAGCATCTTCCTAATTACATTCAGTAAAGTAAATACCTCGCTAGTTAAATTTTGAGCTAAATCAGGGGTAAAAATAAAGAGTAAGGCTTACTTCCAGTGAATATCAACCAGATCCTCTGATTAGGGTAGAACAGTAGTGCCTGCTATATTTAACATCAGATTGTGTTCGTTATTAACAAGAACATGAACTGGAATGGAGAAAGTAACATCTTTGACTATGCGAGAATCGACAATAATTCACACTATCAGTGTAATTTAACATGAAGGTAGATTAGACACAATTATTATTAGGTTACTTTTTACATAAAACTTAAAACTTACAAAAAAAATACCTAACTTTGAAGTTTCTAATGCCTCATTGGTCTAAAAGGTGCAAGAAGCAAATTGAGAGCTCTACAAGAAACAAAAAGAAGCTGAAGCATTTCACTACGGAAAGGAGAAAGAAGCAGAGGCACAAAAAGCAACTGCAGAGGCTAATTTCTACAGACGTAAGCAGATCATAGTTGGGGACTTATATGCAAAGATGAAGGAAGTAGAAGGACTTAAAGCTCTAGCAGAAGCTCAAGGGATTTGAAATTAGGCATCTTTGAACCAGCTTTTTCGATCAAATTAGTTACTAGTTGAGCTCAAAACGTCAAATGACTACCTATATTTTAGAGCACCAGCATTGAGAACCTTTAATCAAATAAGAGAAAATAGAAGAACATTAACAAAGACCTGGCAAACCTAAATCAGAAAATAAATAATAGAACTCAAGACGTCTAAAAAAATATAAACTTCACCATGCCTGATTAGAACCACTAGTCATCAGTCTAACTAGTCGTATAAAACTATAGATATTTCTCAAAAGAAATAACAGTAAAAACTTGTTCTTCCAGAATGAAAACAAATCACAATGGAACAATTGAATAGTTGTACTCAAACTATTGACTTTGTAAATCAAGGAAATGATACTAGTGTTGTTGATGTGAAAAAGATGAAGATGAAAATGGAAGTAAGAAAGAAGATATGAAAGAATAATGAGTGATAGAAGAGAATGAATCAAGACAAATAAGATAGCCAAGCTATAAGAACATCAATGGTTCCTTTCAGGTGGAAGCTTTTTACTATTTTTTTTTTTTTGCTCTTTACTTTTTTCTCTTTTCTTTTTATCTGTACTGGTTTTTATTCATCATGTCATTTCCTTTTCTTCCAACACTGATATGAGATGGTTGAAGAAACATTTTCCTTTTCTAACTTCAAAAGAAAATCTGTTTATGACAGTGGAAAGACGAAGAAGATGGGGAAATAGAACACTTACCGGATGTCTATGTCTTTCTTCGAGCTTCACATACACCGGATGGTATACCTTCATAACAAAGGCAAATTTAGAGGAAATAGATGAAGGAGACGGAAAGCTGAGGCAGAGGAAAAAATTCAAATCAAAACTGCAATTTTAAACCCCAAATCACCTAAATCAGTATATTCAACACCAAAATACTCAAACTAAATTAAGTTCTACAAATGAACCATACAACACTAACCAACTCAAGTGTGTTAGGTAAGACAAAAAATCCTCCCTGATTTCATTGAATCAAATCATTTCGAGGTTATTTTTAAAGCATAAAACGTATTTAAACACACAATTAAAACAAACAGTTTCAGAAAATAATAGTAACATTTTCAAAAGCTAAAAGGAACTCCTATCTACCAAAGAAAATATATGAAGAAAAGAGAAATTACCACAAAGTAGAGAAGCAAGGTCTTGCAGGGTGAAAGACTTGTCCCGTGAGAATTGCACAAGAATATTAGTAGTTGTATTATCAAATGAAAGCAGACAGAATTTCATACATCTAAAATGCTAAACCGATGCAACAATGAAAAATATATATTAAAAATCAAAGATACCTAGTTCGTTCAAATGAAAAACTAAGAAGTTAACTAATCAAATAAAATATAAGGATGTGAAGATGGATACCAAGTTGAAGAGTATGTGCAAAAGCTATAGTTACATAGTTGCCTCTAAACAAATGGTGCATATTATAAACATGTACACCTAGAACTACCTATATATAGTAATTATAAACTTGGAATAAAAGATGAAAAGAAGAAGCTAAATTAATGCTCACTAAATCGAAAGCTAAAATGCTCTTCAAGCTATTTCGCTGAATCTAAAAAGAAGTTACTCTATTGTATACTTAATAGCTTAGTAGCTATTAAGTATAATAAATAAACAAGAGATGAGTTTAAGGAACGAAAGGATAACTAGTAGCTATCAAATAAAACAAAAGCAAACATATACTACTTTAATAACTGCTGAAACAAAATTCAGTGACTTCCTAATTGTTTACATCTAATCTTTTATGAATTGAACAATAAGGCCAATAAAGATTGACCCCTTACATTTTATTTAACTCAACAAAAACATACACATACTTATACCAATATCAAACCTTTTAACAAGGCCAAACTTCAAGGACTTAAAAAGATTGAAAATACAAGCAAAACAACATGCCGAGATGATCAGAAAAGAGAAATAGGCAACGACTTTGAAAGCAAACTACAATCTAGACAGTAACATGTCTTCACACCTTATAAGCTTAATTACAAACAGTGAGCATTTTTTACTAAAATTTAGGCAGATGGAAACATAAATTCGATTCGTAGAATGATCAGGGGATTTGAAAACAAGCTACTACATCAGCAAAACAAAAACACAAACAACCTTCACCTTAGTTAGCTTCAAGATTCTATCCTTATTTTGAAAAGAAAGCATCATTAACAGTAGCAAAACTGAATGTAAAACCTGGGCTTACAGATAATGAAAACGAAGAACAGAGATTTTACGAACATATCGAAGAGGAGTCACCGAAAAAGGATTCAAACAAAGGAACAAGTAAGCGACAATACTAAATACTAAACGAGAAAACCCAACTTCCACGTTAATATGAATCAAGGAAATCCATTAAGAACACATATATAGCAAATTGAAGTCATCAGTTCTCATCTACAAACAACAGTGACACAACAACAGAGTAGCGAGACATATTAGAAATAGAAGAAGATGAGGAGAAGATTATGAAGAAAATGTTACCTTTCTCTGGGCAGCGACCAGACAGTGACCAGCTTGGAGACTACTTCACCACCAAAATAAGATTTCAAGAATTTCGTCGAGCAAAGCAGAAGCAAGAGAGGTTAGAGACTAAACTTTTTTTAAAAATATTCAAAATCAAAAATTAGAGCAAAGTAGAAGCAAGCGAGTGCACTACGTTTAATTTTGGCATATCCCTGATAACCACATCCCGTTCCCCAGTTGTTTTTCACCAAATAGAACTCAACGCCCTCCTCTTCATCACACCAGAAGCTCATCGAACAGATGAAAAAGAGAGAAATTACCAAAGGCAGAAGCTCACCTTTCACCTGAGGATGAAGGAGACATGAGCAATTTCACTTTTCACCTGAGGATGAAGGAGACAAGAGCAATTTCACCTTTCACCTGAGACGGGAGCCATCTCACCTAAGACAGGAGAAATTGAAAGGAGAAGGAGACGAAGCTTTCACTGAGAGAAATTTTACCTGATACAGAGCTTTCACCAAGAGCTTTCACCTGATACAGAGCTTTCAGCAAGAGCTTTCACCTGATACAGAGCTTTCACTAAGAGCTTTCACCTGAGCTTTTGCTTGATGGGAGCTTTCACTAAGAGAAAACCCTATTTTTTACGGATAGTAATTTTTTGTTCCTTTTTGTGTTTTCTATGGACTGATGACTTGGTTAAAAAAATTGCAACAAACTTAGCGACGGATTATGACATTCGTTGTTACTAAATAAATATAATTATTTACATTAAAATTTAGCGACGGATATTTCCGTCACTACATAATCTAAATTCCATAAAAAAAAAATTATAATTCTAGCAACGCTTTTTCGTCAGTAATTCCGTTGCGGAATATTAATAAATTTGTAACACCTACTTTGTTGCAAAATCCGTAACAAAAATTAGGGCGCCAAAGTTTCCCGCTATTTTTTAGCGACAAAAAACATATTTCGTCGCCAATCCGTCGCTATATTATAACTCAAAAATTATTTGTAATTTTTGCAACGAATTGGCTACTTCGTTGTGAATCCGTTGTTATATAGTGACGGAAATTAATTCGTCGCTAATATCCGTCGCTAAACTACTATTTTTTTGTAGTGTCCTCAAATGTTTATTTTGTCTCAATATCTGATGAAAACTCTTAAGTTTCAGGTATTTGAAGTTTTAGTGGAAGCATGGACACTTAGGCGCAAAAAGGAACAAAAAGGACTGAAAAGAACAAAGAAGCTAAAGCCTAAGCATCGCCAAGCACACTTGGAAATTTGCCGAAGGGACACACTCCGCCCTTTGTTCCAGTACGCGAAGCCCTGAAGGAGCAGGATCAAAAAGGCTATGAAAGGAGCAGTCGACATATCGCCGAATAGTTCTGCGAAGCAGTACTATGTCGCCCAACGACACAGAGCACGACGATGCTAAAGGCTAATCCAAGACGGCGACGAACTACACCAAATGGCAAATCGCCGAATTAATCGGCTATTCCGACTAACCTCGCTGAACGATCCGCCAACACTAATTTCTGAAGTCTATAAATACTAAACTCTTATTAATTTAAGAGGAGTCGAACGGTTATTTTAATTTTCACAATAGAATAGTACTTTTTTGGATATTTTCTCTCAAGTTTGGAGAGGGTTTTTTTGGGAGACTTGAAGAAAAAAGGATTTCATCTTCCCCAAGTTGGAAGTGGGTCTTCCCCATTCTTCTTCCTTTTCTTAAATCAAGGTTTAATTCCTTATACCCATTTGATTTTAGTATCATTTTAGGTGTATTTTGGTATTTCTTGATGTGTGGCTAAAAACCCCCATTCTTAGGGTATGATTTAGCAAATATGTGTTGATATTGTTGTTGGGTCTTGCTTGCTGATAGGTTAGATGTATTTTAATGGTGATTTCACCTAGTGGTTGTGGTTTAATTTAATGGATTTGTAGTTGCAAATACAAAATCATCCATGTGGTTTTTGGCTTGCCCGAGAGGGAGGTCGCGAAACCAAGACCACTAGACTGATGGCCTATAGAGTTGGTCGACATGAGGTTCAGCCCGAGAGGGTGATTCCTAGTCTCATAGCCTAACATTCAGCTCGAGAGAGTGAGTGGGGTAAGATGTAGCCTGGCCTTCATGCGACAAATGGGTGTCCGAGAGGAACACTTTTGAAATGGGGTAAGTTGCTCGAGAGGGAACTTATTTCCATCTAAAGCTTAGCCTAGTCACTATTATATTGCAAATTTCCTATTGAAAGCATCTACCCAACGATTTATCTCAACTTGTATTGCAGTCACACCCCAAGAATTTGTCCCCAATCTTGATTTTCTTTTTATTTTTGTTGTTTTTACTACTTGTGACAAAACCCCCCATTTGATATTTGACCCCTTTGTGTCACCCCTTCTAATTTACAATGTTTTAATCGTTAATGTCTTTAGCTACGACTAGTTAGAACTTAATTTATTTTCTATTAATTCTCAAAACCACTTCCTTGGGACACGATCCCAACCTTTACTTGGGTTACTATCTTATCAGCGATCGTAGACACTCGTACCGTAGGTTAGTATCGTTGGTCACGATAAGCTTCACCTGACTGTTGCTTTCCACCCTGACCTCACAAGTAAATTAGCAAATGTGACTTGGACAATGTCCCGTAGACCTGTCTTTTCAGCCCAGGAGCTGCAAGATCGAGATGATAGTGTTATGGCTAGGACGTTCGGCATGGCAGAATTGTAGATGTGGATAGGAGGATGCTCGGTTACTAATGAGGAGATGGAGACCTTGGCGGATCGCTACCCATTGACCGAGAGTTCAACTTTCCTATGCAGGACTGGTCCAGCTTTTCTGGAGCCTATTGATGATGATGAGGCCACGATTGATGAGTAGATGGAGGAGGATGATAAGGATGCAGATGTTGTGGAAGAGGAGGAAAATGCATTGATGGTTTTTGATGAGGGTCATGATGACGACGTGGCCTATAGGCCTGAGGGAGTATTCCTATCTCTATACTTTTTTTAATTATGCACTGAGGACAATGCTTATTTTTAAGTGTGGGGTGGGTAGTATATATCTTTTGTACATATCTTTTAAATGCATTATCAAGTCTAGTTTTAGTTTTAAGTTTAGTTTTTAGTTTTATGCCAAAAAATTTAAATTTTTTTGGGTTCCTCACCATTTGTTTTCGGTACTTTTACTGAGGATAGTCCCTCTGAATCGACTAGGACTAGTTTTACTGCTTTATTAAGTCTTAGAGTCATCGTAGGAGTGACAGTTCCCGATGATGGATGGATGACGACCGTCTTAAGGGAAAATTTGTCACATTGAGAAGTAGGATTGAGAAACAAACCTTGGTCTTTTGAAACTATATCCGGAAAAGCTAGCCAAACGTCATGGGTAGTCATAATTTGAAAGATGCAAAAGAATTATAACCTTGAAACAAGCATGTGTTCTCTGTTTTGACTCTAAATAAAAAGAAATGGGCTTAATTATTTATTTGTACTGTAATGCAAGTTGTACGACCATGCTATTTGATAAATCATTATGTGTGTTGTGATTTCATGTGTGGTGAGTTATTGTAAGTTCATGCTTCAATTGATATGTAGAACTTGCCCAGTGTGTGTTGAATGAGTAGCTTGTATTACTTAGGGAATATTATTGAGGCGTTCTTTGAAAAAGACAATTCTTGACTCTAATTGTATGCCTACAATTAAAATTACCCCTAGTGAAGCTCCCATTGAGCCTTTAGACTTGTCTATTGATAAACCACATGATAATCCGAAACCCGTTTGCTTGATACCAAAGTCTTTTAACCCCAATGAAATCCTTAATGCACTATGTTAAGAAGAAGGGTTGAAAATGTTGGTTGATATGATAAATGGTGAAATGCTAAATTGTGTGGAAACAAAAAGAATAAGGAAAACTCTGTTTTGGCCTTGGTCCTTAGCGACAATGTGCACCTAAATTCAATTAAGGGTAGCTATTTCAGAAATATGTTCTAAACATTGGCCCTGATCCTACCAAGGATATTATGTACGTCACTCGGACCTTAAAATCTCGAGTGAGGGTGACTAGTGCAAAGGCATGTGACATAAAAAAAAAGAATAAAGGGTAAAGATGGAGTATCAAAAAGGGGCAAATATTCATGAAGTGCGTAATAAGAAGAAAGAAAAGCTAAGTAGGATGTTTGTTGGCAAAGCAATGACAGGTGCATTAGGGAGGTGTAGGCACTAAAATGATTCCTAAATATTCCCTTACATACCATAAGCCGACATTACAACCAAATATAAGTCATCTTGATTCTTTGAGAGATACATTGTGAAAGTGAGAATCCACTATGGGCAAGCTTATGGCATGTTCAGAGAAGTAAGAACTTCATTTGTGAGTGTGAGTTTATTATTTGAAAAATAGGCCTTGTTCATAATATGATTGTTTGAGTGAAAGGCTATACTAAACAACAATAAGTGAGGGCATTCATGGCATATGTTTGGATTGTCTAATTGGTGTGTTCATATGAGTTTCTGTTAGCCCAGAAAAATAATGTAAGAGTTAGTCTTTGAGCATGTGTTGTAACTTGGTGCACAATTGTTGAAATATTGCATTTATTGTGAACTACAAGATCATGATTAAATATATTTGGTTGATTTTAAGATGGGTTGATAAGTCAAAGGGATATGAAAAAGAGTTGATAGTCTAGGGATTGTTTGAAGACAAACAATGATTTAAGTGTGGGGTGGTGATCTTAGGCGTATTTATATTCCTAAATTGTTGGGATTTGCCCACGTTTTGATTGAATAAAAAATAATCTTGAGTCTATTAGCTTGATTTTGTTAAACATGCAATGATTGTGCACTCACACATGTGATTAGTTGTTTCAGGAACTTTCAAGGAAGTTAGAGTTGATTCGGAGAAGAAGAAGCGAAGAAGAGGATTTTTTTTTAAAAAACTTTATCCATACAATCAAAGTCTTAATAAAATGCAAGCGGAAGTCTTTACTACACTTTTGTCTCAAACCATCTAATACAACTTTGAATAAAACTCTTGGGACATAGCCCATACAATAGTCTCAAAACATGAAATAAAATACATAAAGGAAATACTCGGTTTTTCCTC